CACTATATCTGTAACCTTTGCACATTCAACTTCAGTCCTAACCGGGGTTCTTTTTGTAGAAAAAGCCCAGCAGGAACTCATTAGCATAATAGGCCACACCCAACAGCAGAAACCTATTAGCATATTAGGCCACACCCCTGACAGTGCAGCTCATTAGCATATTAGGCCACATTCACAAGCAACAGACAACCCAGAAGCCTAAGGATGCATCAGAGTCCTTGTCATGATCTGTGTAGGCCTTAGGGTTACCAGCCTCCAGGTGGGGCCTGGAGATCTCCCGCTTTTACAACTGATCTCCAGCTGACAGAGATCAGCTCCCCTGGAGAAAATGGCTGCTTTGGTGGACTCTATGGCATTGTACCGTGTCCAACATGTAATCTGTTCTCATTATGAGACTAACCTTTGTTTAATTGCCCCTGTGATCCCAGTGCATGGGTTTGGGATGCAGAGCTATAGTCTCTCCTTGAAAGACATTGTCATCATTCTCTGTTGATGTTTGATTTAGGTGGCTAGCCACATTGGTCTGAAGCAGTGGAATAACCACTGGACTTAAACTTCGTTCTGCTGATGTTTGTGAAGGAATGAGGAGTGTACCAAGATGAAGGGGCCTTGATAGATCTGAGAAGGCTGCAAGTCAACAGTGAGGGAACGTTAAAGAAAATGGGGAATGAAGAAACCGATAAGGAGGACATGAATGATGTGCGCCTCCCTGTTTCTCCAGTCCTTCTTCCCCACAACAAAATATTTTTGTTGGGTTGATTTGACATAGCTAAGAGGTAGTCAGAGTCACAGCAAGGCACTGCTGCCTTCTTTTCTCAGTCAGTAGTTTTCTGCTTCCTCATAGAGACATTGGAGAATTATCTTAAGCTAAAAGCTTGTCTGAAACAGTGGTCATGACTCCTAGGAATCAGGACAAAGTGTTCTGTACCTCACATCCCCCAACCTGACCTTATCCATCTTAGTTGTAGTCATTATGAGGAGGAAATCAACAGTGTGTTGAACTTAGAACTAGGAAAGGTTTGGCTCCATGAAACTCACTAGGTGACCTTGGGCCAGTCAAAGAACACTAACAGGTTAGTGAGGCAGAATCCATGCTGAGTCTGCCTCAATAGGTTTTGTTCATCTATGTGCCTACTAATTCTTTCCTTAATAATGGTTTCCACCAATTTACCCCGGTATCGACGTCAGACTGACTGGCCTCTGGAACCCTTTTTAAAGATGGGAGTGACATTAGCTACCTTCCAGTCCTCAGGAATGGAGGCAGATTTTAAGGAAAGATTACATATTTTTGCCAGGAGTTCACATTTGGATCTGTTCTGTCTCTCTTTTAAAAAAGGTAACTCTGTCTGTGATTATGACATGACACTTGACTTGTAGATTTAGCCTGTCACGAGTATGACTGTGTTATGCACCTTGGAGGTTAGCTGCATGTGGGCATGTCTCAGGTTCCCATCTGCAGAAGAAGAATGGCAGCACTTTACTTCCTAAAACTTGCAGACGAGAGAGAGAGAGGGGGGGG